AAGAAAGAAATTTCAAAGAGCAACAGATTCATAATCTATTATATTAAACATTACCTGCTCCTTTTACAAAATTCACTTTCTATGTATCTTGTAGGCATTTTAAGCCATTCATTTGGAGTCATAAAATGCCTTGAACTAGAAATTCTTGGGAATCTGGAATGTAGTTGGGCCTTCTCAACCTCTTTAAATTCTTTCATGGTATATAGTTTGCCTGCAGGAAGATTAGTAAACTACATTAGCTCCCTTACTGGCAACCATTGCTCTAGGGCTTTGAAATTACATAAGATTTAGAAACTAAGTACCAGTCTCACACTGAAGAAGAGTTCGTTTTTCATCATCCTTGTCATATTGTGCTTTCTTCAAAGGATCATGAAGTGGTGGAATGATAAGCTATAAGAAAAACATTCATTTAGGACTGGGTCGCAAATTTAATTATTAAATATATGTGTGTGTGTGTATAATATTACTCATTAAATACATTTAACTCATTACAAAGAGATGAAGGCACTCTGGTGCCTTTCCCAACAAGGCCCTCTGGCTAAGGAGGCAAGACTAGCTATTGTTTCAAAGTATAGGTTCAATCATCAAAAATTCTTTTGTTATCACATATTCCTAAATTAAAAAATTATTTCCATGCTCAAGAGAAAAAAAATCTATATATTCATCTTAATTAAGAAATATCCATAATCAACAATAAGTTATGCAAAACAGCCAATATGCTATTTAAAAGGTAGATCATCTGTTAACCAAGATATTAAAAGTACTAAATCTATTTTTTTTTTAATTTTATTTATTTGTGTGTGTGTGTGTGTGTGTGGCCAGCTCAGCCCACCAGGGGGCGGGGCTGGCTGGCATGTGGTGCTGGGGGATTGAACCGTGGTCCCTGTGCTTTGTTGAACTTGTTCTAAGTAGATGCTTTAGACCACTGAGCCATCTCACCAGCCCACTAAATCTATTTTAATGGGCAGTGTTATCAAAATAATTATCCACAAGAAAACAGTATTTGGCCACAGTCATCTTCATGGTCTAGCCTAGTGTGTGAAATTCTACCACAAGACTAAAAAGTCATTTACATGTTTTATAATAATGAAATTTGTTTTTCTGGGACAGTTACATAGCATGAATTTTAAGAAACAGTAGGGGTTGGTGAGATGGCTCAGTGGTCTAAAGCACCTACTTAGAACAAGCTTAGCAAAGCACAGGGACCGCGGTTCAATCCCCCAGCACCATATGCCAGCCAGCCCCGCCCCCTGGTGGGCTGAGCTGGCCACACACACACACATAATTAAATAAATTAAAAAAAAAAGAAACAGGAATTTTAAGAGTTAATCAGACTGCCCTCTAGAATTTTACTTTCAAATAAGTTATAAAGGAAAAACAAAAGTTATGAAGCAAGTTACTTATAAAATAATAAGAAAACATTAACTTGCTTTCAAAAACAAGCCAGGGTTGGGGAAATAGCTCAGCAGCATAAGTGCTTACCTGGCAAGCACAAGGTCCTGAATTTGATCCCCATTACAAAAAAAAAAAAAAAGCCAGAAGGCAACCACATAGCTCAGGGGATTAAAGTGCCTATTTAGGCAGACAGAGGGACCAGAGTTAGATCACTGGCCTGCTATGCTGGCCCCGCCCCGGGGGCACACTGTGACGGTCACTGAAACTGGGCGTGGTACCACGTGCCTATAATCCTAGTACTTGTGAGACTAAACACAGGAGGATCACTACAGGTGCGATCTGTGTAGTGAGACCCTGTAGATCCTGTACTAAATATATATAAAATAATAATAATAATAATAATAATAAGTTAGGCATGGTGACACATGCCTGTAGTCCCACCATTCTTGAGGTTGAAGCAGGAGGATCTTGGGAGTTTGAGACAAGCCTGAGCTACAAAATGAGCTCAAGGCCAGTGTAAACTGCACAGCAAGACGCTTGTCTTAAAAAGGAGAGAGAGAGAGAGAAAGAGAGAGAGAGAGAGAGACAGAGAGAGAGAGAGAGAGAGAGAGAGAGACTATCATTTGCAGGTATTTCTCCATGACCTATTCATATAGAAGTAGCAAATCAAATTTTACATTTAAAAAGAGAAGCATTACTGGGGATGGTAGCACACACCTGTTATCACAGAACTGGAGAGGCTGAGGCACAAGGATTGCTGTAAGTTCAAGGTCAGTCTAGGCTACACAGTGAGTTCAAGGACAGTGTGGAGTACATAGCAAGACCTTTGGAGTTTCGTTGCACTCTAAGTGACCTAGAAGTCTTATGTTAAGGGTGGGGCTTCAGGAAGCTGAGTGGATCATCAGCTGAATGTACTGTTAGGAGCTAGGACCTGGTTGAAGGTGGGGCACTGGGAGCAAGCTTGGAAGGGTATATTCTCATCTCTCTCCCTTCCAGTGTCTCTGGCTCTCTTGTTTGCTCTCTGTGTGCTTCCTGGATGCCATGGATTGAGCAACTTTATTCCATCACACTCTTCCACCATGATTTCTTCCTTGGAACCACTCAACCATGGACTGAAACCATGAACCAAAACTAAACCATTCTGGTATACATTGTAGCTGTCAGATATTTTGCCCCAGAAAAGTAAAGCTGATACACTCTTTTTAAAAGCATTACTGAATTTTTAAGGAATCATTAAATGACAAATTATATTTTAGGGCTGCTCAAAAAAAAAAAAAAAACAAAAAAACCCATACTATCAGAGTTACAATAAGAAACGCACCTACCTTCAGGAAGTTGGGGTCTTCTTTTCTCATATAAAAAGGATCATATTCTTTTGGATCATAATGCTCTATAAAAACATTTCCCTAAAGAAGGAAATAAAACCACACATAGAAATAAAAGGTACAGGGCTGGTGAGATGGCTCAGTGGTCTAAAGCACCTACTTAGAACAAGCTAAGCTAAGCAAAACATAGGGACCGTGGTTCAATCCCCCAGCACCACATGCCAGCCAGCCCTGCCCCTGTTGGGCTGAGCTGGCCACACAAACACCAAATAAATAAATAAATATTTTAAAAAAAAGAAATAAAAGGTACATAATTAATTTTTAGCATGCCAAGGCTCAAAGCAAATTCACATTTTCATTCATATGCTTCAAAGTGGCATCAATGACAAATGCAAAAGACTAAATTTGTGATTAAATTTGATTTATTCAAATGTATTATAGTGATGAAAGGAATCTACTTAAAAGTTGCAAGATTTTAATAAAGAGTACAAGAACACCAAAATATTTTAGTTTTCTTCCTTCCATTTTCAGTATTAGAGCCTCATGAAAGCACTCTACTACCAAGCTCTGCCCCCGCCTGGTAATGTGTTTAAATGCTTACTAGTCAAGTATCTCCCATTTTTTAAAATATCAGAACAGAAATATTTGATAGCTTTGTAAATCAAGTTTCCAAAAAGAAAATATGTCCAAACCTAGAGTCCAAACAGTATGTATGTGTGTGCGACTAAGGACGGAACCCAGGGTCTTCACAAGTAGCTACATCCCCAGCTCCTTCTGTTATTTTGAGACAGGGTCTCATTAAGTCACTGTTTCCCAGGCTTGTCTTAAACTTTAGATCCTTCTACCTCTGCCTCCCAGAATGCTGAGATTATAGATATGTGTCTGGTTATACCAGGCTGAGTCCAAATTTCTTACATCAGTAAATAAAATTAACACTTTTATGAGGAAAATGGTTCTAAGGCACACAGTTATGCTTATACCTGACCCTCCCCCTCCATCCTTTCCACGTGCCTAGGATTGAAGACTACTGCATGCTATAGCAGGTATAGATTTTGCACACAGAGGATGAGCTGGCTATCTAGACGAGTAAGCACTAAACGAACAAAAATATTCCTAATTCTGGGCCGGCCTGATAGCTCAGCAGACTAAAGTGTCTGCTTAGGCAGATGCAGGGATCAGGGTTTGATCCCCAGCAAGCAGTGCCGGCCCCACCCCCAGGGCATGCTGAGACTGCTATTGAGACTGGACGTGGTGGCACGCGCCTATAATCCCACTACTTGGGAGGCTGAAAACAGGAGAATCACTATGAATCTAATCTGAATAGTGAGACCCTGTAGACCCTGTACTAAATACAAAAAAAAATGTAAATTCATAATTCTTAAACCAACTAAAAAAGTATTAAATGATCTTAATACCTTTTTATTTCCGTATTTTAAAAAACCATCTAATTCTTCTTGTCTCCTTGTCTTAATCTTCTTATATGAACACACTTTGTCTAGAATTTCCTTGTGGAGAGGGTCTGCCACAAGGTGAGCCCATCTTCTGTGTAATATCTCCTTTCTTCTTGTACTCAGGAAGTCATGATGTTGTAAGTACCTATCTAGGTCCTAGGAAACAGTGACAGAAAAGATAGTATCTTACTTCAAAGCTTTCTTGTCTTAAGAGCTTCTTAAACTTTCTAAGTTTATGTTATTACTAAGAACTACTCACATGATACACTTATTAGTATAACTTATCTGTTTTGTCCTTTTTTTTTTTTTTTTTGGTGGAACCGGGGATTGAACTCAGGCCCTTAGGCTTGCCAAGGAAGCACTTATTCTACTGAGCCATCTCCCTGGCCCTTAGTATAAATTATCTGGTTTCTACTATTTGACACACATTATGCTGGAAACAAATACACAAATAATTGAGACAGCATGGCTGCTTCCCCTGGAAACCAGTCTACATAAAGAACCTACTTAGGCAGAGCACAGTGACCAGGATTCGATTCCTGGCTGTCCCTGCTGACCCCGCTGATCCTGTGGGGGCAGCAGGGCACTGAGATGGTGGCGACTGAGACTGGGCGTGGTCCTGTAATCCCAGCACTTGGGAGGCTGCAAATAGGAGGATCACTATGAGTCTGATCTGTATAGTGAGACCATGGTAGACTCTGCACTAAATACCAAAAAAAAGAAAGAAAGAAACCAGTCTACAAAACAGGAGAATATGTCTTGAAGTTCACAGTTACAAGGGAACCCAGCAATTTCACTCCTTAAGTATAAACCCAAAAGAATTAAAATAAAGACTCAAATAGATATTTATACATCAGTGTTTATTGGTGCATTTGTGAGAGCCAGAAAATAGAAACAATCATCTCTATCAACAAATGAGTACAAAATTTCAGTTCGTGGTGACAAAAAAAATTTGCAGACAGGTAATGGTGATAGTTTCAAAGCATTGTGAATGTAATTAAAACAATGAATGGTTGGCCAATGAATGATGGCATACACATGTAACCCCAGCACTGAGGAAGCTGAGGGGGGAGCACTGCCATGAGTCGGAAGCTAGTCTGGACTACAAAATACTGCCTAAAAACAAAACACAACAAAAAAACACTGACGGTACACATATGGTTTAAAATAGCTGGGCACAGGCACCTATAATCCCAGCTATTTGGGAGGCTGAGGAAGATGATGCATTCAAGGCCAGACTAAACAACTTAATGAGACTGTCCTCAAAATAAAAATTAAAAGGATGGGATGTAGCTCAGCAGTAATGTCCCTGGGTTCAAGCCTTAACACTGTAAAACAAACAAACAAACAAAAAAAAGTATTATGCAGCATACAACAGGGAATTCCAGTCCCCAAGGACAAGGACCCATACCTGTCCACTGTCTGTGAGGAACCAAACCAGAGCAGGAGGTAACAAACACACAAGCCAAAGGCCGAAGAGATAGCTCAGTAGAATAAGCACTTGCCTGGCAAGTGCAAGGTCCTGAGTTCAATCCCCAGTACTGCAAAAATCAATAATTAAATAAATAAAATAAAAAACATGCAAGCCAGCTGAATTTTATCTGCAGTTATAGTGGCTCATCATTATCCGAATTACTGCCTGAGCTCCACCTACTGGCAGATCAGCAAGGTGTCCAATTATCACAAATTCTTGTGACCTTCACACATGAGGGATCCTCTGTATAAGTGCTAATGCCTGTGATCTGAGGTGAAGCTCAGACAGTAATGCCAGCATTGGGGAATGTCATTATTTTTTTTAATTTTATTTATTTATGTGTGTGTGTATGTGTGTGTGTGTGGCCAGCTCAGCCCACCAGGGGGCGGGCTGGCTGGCATGTGGTGCTGGGGGATTGAACCGCGGTCCCTGTGCTTTGCTAAGCTTGTTCTAAGTAGGTGCTTTAGACCACTGAGCCATCTCACCAGCCCGGAATGTCATTGTTATGTATTTCAAACAAACCTTAATAAAAAGAAGACACTAAAAAAAAATTTTAATTTAAATCTTTAAAATTCCCCACACCCAATTCCCAGTCTGTGGAAAAACTGTCTTCCATGAAAACAGCCCGGGTGCCAAAAAGGTTGGGGACTGCTGGTATACAGTATATATTTCACCACAATGAACAAAATGATTTAATTTTTTTATACATGTATTTATTTTAAGTAGCAGGAATCAAATTCAGAACCTCACATTTGCCAGGCAGGTGCTGTATCACTAAGCTAAATTCCCTGCCCCAAATCATTTAAGTTTAAAAACTGTCAAAGTGGAGGCATTTTGGCTGGACCTTAAAGAATATGGAGTTTGGCGAGCACAAGGTCCTGACTTTGATTCCCAGGATCAAAAATAATAAAATAAAATAAAGAATGAGGAGCTAATCAGGGAGAAAGGGGATGGCATTCTATATATAGTTAAATATTTCTGCTTACCAGTGCGTACCTGATAGCTAGCCAGGTGTTCTGATCACATAGCTTAAAGATCTACTCATTCATATGACTCAGTAGAAACCAAACTTGGATGAAAAAACAAATGAGAATACCTTTATACTGTAGCTGTACAAGGAATTCTCCCAATATGTAGAAAGAAAAGTTCATCACTCTCAGAGATCCCTTAAGGTTAATCCCAGGTACTAATGAGTATTTTTAATTCTACTGCCTGAATTTTATTGAAAAATGAAAAAATTAAAATGAAAAAAATAAAAATTAATGTTCTAATTGAGATACATTTGTACCCAGCTCTTACCTTAATTACATGATTTTCTCTATGTAATATTAATTGAATAGCTGCATCTGTATCCTCTTTAGCTAAGGCCTAAAAAGACAGAATTAAACTTTAAAAATTAAATCTTGAAAAACTTAAACTATTAGTACCATCAAACCTGAAAAGTTCTCTGGAATTTTTTCTACTTCTTTAATTCTGTCTAAAAAAAAAAAAGAAAAAAAGAAAGTACACAAGTGTTCTTAGCGGATGTGGAAGAGTAACTTAGTGTGAAAGTGCCCACCTAACATGATTGAGGCCCTGGGATCCTGGGTTCAGTTTCTAGTACTGTGGGGAGGGGGAGGGCTGGGGTGGGATATGTTCATAGCAGCAAAAACCGGAAACAATTCAAATACTCATCTAATGATGAAAGGATGAACAAAATGTAGTATCTATACAGTGGGTATTTGGCCATAAAAAGCAGTGAAGTACTCTTAGAATGTCTCAAAATATAAGGACTGTACAAAAAAAAATTTAGGGGCTGGTCAGATGGCTCAGTGGTCTAACGCACCTACTTAGAACAAGCTAAACTAAGCAAAACACAGGGACCGCGGTTCAATCCCCCAGCACCACATGCCAGCCAGTCCCGCCCCATGGTGGGCTGAGCTGTAAAAAAAAAAAAAAAAATTTAAGACTATACTAAATGCTGGCTAGACTATATGACAACTGTTAACTCTTACGTACTGTTAGTGGAAATGTAAAATATTGCTTTCTATTAACTTTGGAAGTTTGGCAGCTTTATAAAAAACTAATTTCATTTGCTATATGACCCCATCATCTCAAAACTAGTATCTACCCAAGAAAAATGAAAGCATATGTCCATCCAGTGACATGTGCAACAGCTTTTATTTATGATGACCCAAAACTAGAAACAACCCAAAAGTCCATCAGTAGGAGGGGCAAATTGGGATATACCCTTAAAATGGAATAACACTCAGCAAAAGAATTAAATATTAGTACATGCAACATGGATGAAATGCAAAATAACTATGATGAGAAAAAAACCAAAATAGAAAAACAGAATGTATTCTGTCAGATTCCATTTACATTTAAAAAATTTCAATGCAAACTAAAGTGATGACAAAGTGGTTGCAGGAGATAAAAAAGGGTGTCCTACAAAGGGACATGAGGAGAAAACACAGCAATCAATAGATGTTCCTTATTTTTATTTGTGGTGATGGTTTCATGCATGTATACATATATCAAAACATACCAAATTGTACACTAATATATGTAGTTTATCATATGCCAATTATGGCCTAACAAAGCTGTGCAGGGAAATGAATTACAATACAGCAAATCAAACTTTGGGCAGTGCTGCTAAACCCCGTACTTCACGAGAAACTGTTGGCTTTATTAGATTTTTCTAATCTAATAATGTATAGATACAGAATCAAAACCTGTAATTTCTGTAATTTTAGGAAGCTAAAAAATGAAGAGCAAAGTAAATGGTAACGAATAAAGAGAATGAAATAGAAACTACAGGAGAAAAATAACAAGTAACACAAGCTTCTCCCTGAAACTACCTAAGTAAGAGCCTCAAAATGCAAATGGTACCTCCATAAAAGAAAGCGACCCGGGCTCCAACCGTTCTCTGGTGCTCTTGAGCCTGGGAAGGGTGCCAGTCACCAAATCATCACTTTCTACGTTTTTCATTGTGGTCACAAGTAACAAGACCCCTACAAAAACTAAAAATCAGCTTAATTATTTTGTAATGAAATTCACAATCACTGTATTTTCTTCTCCGCTTCATAATCAACACGGGGGGAGGGGCGGCAGGGAGATGGCTCAGTGGAATAAGAGCGTCCCTGGCAAGCGCAAGGCCCTGAGTTCAATCCCCGGTTCCGATAAAAAGCAGCTAAGTCCGGAAGCAAGCGAGTGGGGGACGCTGCAACTTCGAGGCCACTGAGGCACTGGCTGAGGGGCTCAGGAGGGAGGGCGGGGGCTTCCAGGCGGCAAGTACGGGTCCCGAAGCTCTGGAGTCGCACAGCCCTCCCCGGGGCCTGCACCGAGGGCGTGCGCGCCCGCCACAGCACCCGTCCCTCTCACCCGAGCAGGGCGCCGGTCGCCGCGGCCGGCCCTCCGCTCAGTCCCCGGGACCAGTCTGTAGCCGTCCGCGCCAGGCGGGGCCCGGGCTGCGGGATCGACGCGCCAGCCCTCAACCGGAGCCGGTCGCCTCGGAACGTGCGAACGCGCGCGGCAGCGTCTCCGGGACGCATCCCCGCGGCCCCCGAGTCCGCGTGCGCGACCACGCGCCCCGCCGGCAGCGGCGCCTGCGCCCTGGGCGGGTCGCCGCTTGGGTACGCCGCGGAGGGCCCCCGCTTCCCGGTGACAGGCAGCTGTCACAGCCAATCACGCCGCCTCCGCCCGGCCGTCCTGTGTCCCGCCCCGCAGAGCGTGGGCTTGGGAAGCCACGGGGGCTCTTTTGTGTGCGGTAGCCCTAGTGGCCGGAGTGACCTGCTCCGGTGACCCCGACTCTCAGTCCTGTGGCGAGGCGTCTGCCCTGCTGCATCTCTGCTGGGGACAAGTGTGGTGGCAGCTGACCTGAGGACTGACCTGGGGGACGGCGCTTGGACTGGAATGTTGGCTTAAGTTCTTAGAGGTGTCTTCCGTCCCCTGGGTGTTGGTCGTTGGTCGCTGGCCGGGAAGGGTGCGTGAAGATTCATGAGCTGCGAGTCACCATGAGCTCTGGGTCTCCATCCTTCCTGGTCTGGGATTGTTTCGGTTGATTGGTCGGTTTTTAAAATCCCAGGTAATCCCGCTGGAAACTTGACAAAAATAGAAAATTAAAGCAGATTTTCCACTCAGCTTCATAAACCACTCTGGGTGTTCTAATTTCACCTTGATTCTGTTTGAGTATTGGTGAACACTAGATAATGGGCCACGATTTCCTCTCCCTCGTTCCAAAGGACACCCTCAGTGAAATGGAAACCGGAGTGTCTTGGGAGCTTTTGTATTCTCCTGCTTTTAAGAGGTAAGCCGAGTGGATGGCTTCAACCACAATTCCCCTTTCAGAGTGGAGGGAACATGAGCCAGTTGCAGAGCTTGCTGTTAGATACCCTCGTGGGGACCAAGCACGTGGACAGTGCAGCCCTCATCAAACTGCAGGAGCGGAGCCTGAGTGTTGCAACTCCAGGATTTAATGTAAGAAAAAACAAATTCGGGAATAAGGCTTTTAAACGATTTTTTTTTTTTTAATTTTAAAAAACGATGCTAGCTGGGCGTGGTGCTGCACATCTTTGATCCCAGCACTCTAGGAAGGCTGAACCGGCAGGACCACTGTGAGTTTAAGGTTCAAGGCTAGCCTGGGCCACACATTGAGACCCTGTCTCAATCTAAACAACAACAAAAACTGTTGTACCCTGTCAAAATTGACTCCATTTTGTTGCCCTTCTAACCTCGCTGAGTTCCTGTTCTGTATGCACCGATCCCTCCCAATTCCTCACCCCTTGACTGCCAACTCAAATTCCTCCCAATGCCTCCCAATTCCCCACCCCTTGACTGCCAACTCAAATTCCTCCCAATCCCTCCCAATTCCCTACCCCTTGACTGCCAACTCAAATTCCTCCCAATTCCTCCCAATTCCTCACCCCTTGACTGCCAATTCAAATTCCTCCCAATTCCTCACCCCTATGACTCAAGCCTTATGATATCTGTTCCCCAAACTTTATCTCAATGAACTCTGTATGACTGCCAACCCAGCACCTTCACCCAACAGGACCACCCCATGAACTAATGACCCTGCCACTTCTTCCTCTCCACCCCTCCCCTATTTCTGCGGTTTTCAAGCTTAAATACTGCACCTTGTCAATGCTCGGTGCGCCTCTTTGCACCTTGCATAGAGACCGCCACTGGGTACCAGCTAAAATAAAGTGCTTCTTTTAATTTTTGGACTTGCCTCATTGTCATCTGATTTTTGAGTTACAACAAAAATCTGTAGTGAATTGTTTTTAGGTTTCTGGGCAACATAATCTTGCAACTTAGTAGTTATAATAGAAAAGCAGCCATAAACAGTAGGCAAAAGAATAGGTGTAACTATGCTGTAATAGTACTTTTTTTGAGATAGGCTCTCGTTTTGCAGTGTAGGCTGGCCTTGAAAACATAGCAGTCCTCCCTAAACTTCCAGAGTGCTGGGATTACAGGTGTGCACCGACACGCCCAGTTTAACACTTGAAACTTGAATTTCATACATTAGGCCCATGTCATAAGGTGTGGTTCTTCTTTTGATTTTTTTCCCCCATCCATTGAAGAAAGTGAAAATCATTCCCAGCTTTCAGGCCATTAAAAAAAAAAGGCAGCTGGGGGCACAGAGCCTGCCTGGTAAGTGCTAGGTCCTGAGTTTAATCCCCAGTACAAAAAAAAGTAGCTGGTCAAATTTGGCCATTGGCCATCAACCATCAGTTACTGATTCCAGGTCTATTTAATCTATAGGTTATGCCAAGTGATGTCCAAACACTTGTGAATGGATTTGCCAAAAACCCTTTGAAAACCCGAAGAGAAGGACTATATTTCAAGGAAAAGGACTACAAATGTGTCCGGGCAGATGACTATTCTCTTTATGCTAAGAGTGTGAGTGTTCCAGATTGGAAGAGAGCTGGCTAAAAATTAAGAATTTCGACTTCTATTTTCTTTGCCCCTCCTGATCTTCCCCTAAAACAGATTAAGCTCATTACTGCCTCAAGGCACTAAGATAGCATTCTAGTGCCAGGAGGGCATATCTGAAAGAAAGTACTATGAAAAAGCCTGGTGCTGACAAATATTCATTGCAGGATTAGTCAACTGAACTTTGCTGGAACTATCACTTTCCAGTACAATCCACCTTTCATAATCTATTTTCTATTCTAAAAAAAAAGTGATATAGATTGAATATTCTTTATCAGACATGTTTGAAACCCAAAGTGTTTTGGGTTTTGGAATATTTGCATACACATGTACATAACTATATATCTTGATAATGAGACCCTAGCATAATCATGAAATTCATGTTTCATATGAACTTTATGGTATGACATAAAAATAGTTTTATACAATATTTTAGTGTGCCTGCATTTTTACTGTTGGTGCTCAAAAAATTTTGGATTTTAGAGTATGTCAGAGGTTTTCTAAATTTTTTTATGTTTATTTTTTTCCACTTACATAAGAATTTTATTTATACACACACAAAAAAAAACTCAGAATGGTCCTTAAGCATATGAGCTAAAACATGAGTTGGACTGTGGACAATTCCCCCCAGCATTTAGAGAAGCAGAGGAAATGTATCAGGCTGCCAAATGTTCTTTTTTGATAAAGGAAACAACTACAAAAGTTTTATTTGCTCAAAGTAACCAGTGCTATAGATGCAAAATAAACAAAACCCAACAACTTCCCCAAATACTACTTTTAAAACTGACATATTAAACTTGATTTTCATTAGAATGTTTTTTTTCCACACTAGTAAATCAAAACCAAGACCCATCACATATATATATATATATAGATATATATATATATATATATATATATATATATATAAATGATGTGAGTTATTGAGCTTCATCTTCTGGACAAGAATGCCAAGTTAGCCTCTCTTCATAAAAAGCAATGACAAGTTGAGGACATTTCGTATTTGCCTCTTTTGCCAGCACCAAGTCAGCCTCATCTGAATCTTTCCATTTCATGCGAAACATCAATTCTCCACTACTATCTGTGGCTCCAGTTGATAGTTCAGGATCAAGACCTCTAGCAAAACCTCTAGGTTTGTCAGTAGCATCTCTTTTTTTTTCTTTGACTTGCTGTCATCAGATTCACTGTCAGATAAAGATTTTCTTTCTGTACCATCTTTTTCTTTACCAGCTTTTTGCGAATTAAGAAATGCTTCAATTAACTCTGGACAATCTAAATTTTCTTCAGGTTCCCATGTATTGTCAGCATCTGTAAATCCCTTCCACTTCAGAAAATACTCCACCTTCCCATTCACTACACATCAGTCCAGCACTTTCTCTACCACAAACTCTTCAGGTTCTGCTTCTTCAACTTCTTTAATTTTTCCAGTTTGTTTCTTTCCCATTTCTTGCAATGTAGTTTTATTGGAGGCCATTTTTTACTGCAGACTTGAAGAGTTCACCACTTCGGATGCTTGGTTGCGGGTCTGCAGTCTCGGCCTGCGCACCTGCAGCTCCACTCACAGGTTTTTGATTGTTTTTTTTTTTAATTAGGGATTAAAAAATGTATAGTGTTTGTGTATAGTAATGTATGTGTATCATTACTGTAAAAAATGTATAGTAATGTTTAGTGTATCATTACTGTGCTTAAAAAACTTTTTCTTGGTTCTCTGTTACCTGTAAGGAGCTGGACAGTCTATACTACGAGTTAGGCACACTTCCCCATACAAGCTTAATGCCTCACCTTACTATTGAGAGAAGGGAGGCTTAATGCTGGTTAAATAACTCAGAAGACAATGGAGATTTTAGAATTTGGGCTCAGGGCTGTCCAATCCCAGGACATATTGCCTTCACATTACATCATTTGTTCTTTTGAGACATGGGGAATATTATATTACAATCAGAAAATTTGCATAGTATACATGCTGTTCTTACAACAGTCTAAACCATTTTCAGGAAAGACAACATTAGGAAATGGTGAAAAATGTGGCTGGAAGGTAACTTCTGGTTTTGTAGTTAGGACCAAGAGCAGAGCAATTGGTTTTACTCTTCATCCAGGAGAAGACTGGTGTTGTTGTTGTGAAGACCCACCTGTATCTTCTGGTGGCCACTTACACGGCAGGGATGTACCCAAGCATCTGTGTGGAAGCCACAGAGAAGCTGGGTAAGTTTCCCTCCAGGTGCCTGTCTTTATTCCCTGTGGCAGTCAGGGCTTCAGACTGCAAATGACAGAGATCCAACTATGACCAGCTAGAGGAAGTATATCAGTCGCCTTGCCATCACTAGGAGCAGTCACCCCAGAAGCACAAAAGAAGAGAAGTCCACTGTGGCCCAGTTTCTGAGCTTTCAGTCCACGGTCAGTCGGCTATACCAAGGCAGAGACATCATTGTAGAAGAACAATTGGAAGAAAGCTGCCTCCTTCAGGGCAGCCGTGAAGCAGGGAGAGAGCGAGCCTGTGCTGGCAGCTTCAGCTTCCTGGTTGTGTTGCATCTGGGACCCCATCCTATAAGTTGGTGCCATGCACACTTAGTGCAGGTCTCAGTTTGCCAGTGTCTCTGAGAACATCCTCACAGACACACCCAGAAGGGTGATTACTGGCCGCCTCCTCTCTCATTCCCTCCCATCCCCCCCGCCCACTTTTTTCTGGTTTTTGTTGTTGTTTTCTGAGACACAGTTTCACTATATAGTCCAGGCTGGCCTCAAACTCATTTTGGGGTGTTTTTTTGTTGTTGTTGTTGTTATTTGTTTTGGGTTTTTTTTTTTGTTTTTTTTTTTTTTGTACTGGTAATGGAACTCAGGACCTTACATTTGCTAGGCAGGCACTTTTGCTGCTGAGCTACATTTCTGGCCCTGACCTCAAACTCTTGATCCTCCTATTTAAGCCTCTCAAGTTTTGAGTTTCTTAATCAAATCAAGTTGACAATCGAGAATAACCATCACAAGGAGGGAGGAGAGACTTATTGGCAGGGCATTGCAGATGCTTATATAACTACTCCATAGACAGGATACAGCACAAAACGCAGGGTATAGCAGATACCATGGATGGGAACACTGCAAGGGCTGACTTACCTCTGCCTTTAAGTAGGTTAGCTTTGCTGTGTCCTATTGCAAACCACTTCCTTTCCTGGCTGGTATGGCCAACCAAGCCTCCCATCCAACTCTCCCCGCTAATTCCTCCTAGGACCCTGACTTGCCAATTCTTGGGTCATATGCTCTGCAGGCATGGTAGGCTGGGGAGCAGCAGGAAGCAGACTAAAAAGCAGAGCTGTAACTCTAGAGGGTCAAAACCAGGAAAGACAGTCTGTCTTCCATACCTCTCCACATGCCATGCTCTCTGCCTGTGATATTTTCCCCTTCTGTCTCTGCCCCTTTGGTCCTGCCTCTGGGGGGTGCTGAGATGGTGGCAATTTAGACTGGTGTGCGCATGTAATCCCAGCACTTGGAAAACTGTAAACAGGAGGATCACTATGAGTCTGATCTGTGTAGTGAGACCCTGTAGACCCTGCACTAAATTAAAAAAACAAATAAATATATTACTGGGTCATATAATATTAAGTGATAATATGTTGAATTCTAGATCCTTTGTTTTAAAAAACAGGAAAAAGCATATTTTGTGACTTATTTTTAACATTGTCATGGAATTATTGAAGAACTACAGTTTTTCCTTGAATTTTCTGTGACTGCTCTGCAAATTGAAGTTGGGAAAGACTTAAGTCTCTCTAAAGCAGGGCTGGAGAGACGGCTCAGTGGAATAAGCGCTTCCCTGGCAAGCGCAAGGGCCTGAGTTCAATCCCTAGTTCTGCAATAAATAAATAAATAAATAAATAAATAAATAAATAATCATCACTTCTCTGAAGCCACCCACATTTGGTGGTCTCTTCATTTAAGAGTTGCTGCATTGTATAAACCCATATGCTAGAGAAGTGGCCTGTGTTTAGAGAGCTACTTCATGGTTTTGACAATTTGTTATTCTCAAAAGAATTTCATGTGCGACCCTATTGCCAAGTGTGTAACATAGATGAATGAGGGAATGATTCAGATTAAAGAATGTGTCTTGCAGTTAACTTTTTTTTTTTGCGGTTAACTTTTAGTTAACTTTTTAGGAATCTACTTCTGTGATTGCCATCTGTCATGACTGCTAAAGGAAGGCAAATTAAGTAATATCCAGCAGTTAATTTAAGAAAAGAGAATTTTTGATGAGGGGAGTTATCAGCTTCCAAAGTTCTCTGATTGATAGCTTGTTAACAAGTGGAGTGTGATAATCCATTTTAAACCTAGGTCTTGGAATACACACTGGGGAGGAGGGAAGTGGGTTCTTTTGTTCCCTGGGAAGCTGCTCCCATCCTTTTTCCTTTACTGACCATGTGTTCCTTTATTCAACAGAAGAGTTGATTCATCCTTTAAAGCAGCTCAAATAATTTTTTTCTTCAAGTAAGAGATTTGAGGGGCTGGGAGATAGCTCAGTGGTCCAAGGTCCTGCCTGGCAAGCTCAAGGACTTGAGTTTTATCCCTAGTACTACATGCTATGCTGACCCCCAAACTGGTTGTGCTAGTGTACCCCTGTAATCCCAGCACTGGGGAGGCTAAGAAAGGAGGATCGATACAAAGCTGAACGGCATAGTAACACCTTGTATCCAATAAATAAAGAAATTATTTTTAAATAAGGGAATTAAATCCTTATTTAATTCAGTCTTTTCACTGAACAATGTTCTCAGTTTTTTGGGTTTTTTTTTGTTTTTGTTTTTTTTTTTGTTTGTTTTGTTTTTGTTTTTTCATTTTGCAACAAGGCCTCACTAAGTTGTTCAGTCTAGCCTTGAACTTTTATCATCCTGCTTCAGCCTCCCAGAGTTCTGGGATTACAGGCATGCACACTACACAGATTCAGATACCTCTTATGTGGCGTTCATTATTATGAAATATAATTGATTTTCGTATCTAGGCATCTCACCTACTATGCAGTGAACTCCATGGGGCAGGGATGGTCTCTAAACTCTCCTGTCATCCTGTGTCTCCTGTACCTACCACACAGTAGATATCCAGCACTGCCTATAGACTAATGAATGAGTGAGCAAGTGAATAGATTACACTGTAATATTGATGTACTACTCATAAATAATAACCATGTTGCACTTTCTTACAGGAGACTATCTAAGAAAGAAAGGAAATTAAGACATCAGAAGAATATGAAAGACAATTATTGTAGAAGAATTACCTTATTTTGTATTTGAAAAACAGGCAGATAATACAAAAATATAAGGTTGAGTTAAGAGAAATTTTTCTTGTTTCCAGCTTTATCACCTGTAATTTGAATTAATGTATCAGCTTTTTCCTGTGTCAGTCACTGGCAAGCCGTGTAAGAGCACTGATAGTTTCCCATACAAGTCTTTGGCAGTCTCACCTTCCGGAGGGTTATCCCAGACACTTGTTAGATATCCTAAGATACAAGGCTGTGGGCCCTCTATCCAGACACTGTTTATCTCAAGGCTTTAAAAATGAAGTAATGTCTTTCTTTCTTTCTTTCTTTTTTCTTTTTCTGTAACTAGGGATTGAACTCAGGCCCTCGCGCTTGCCAGGGAAGCACTTATTCTACTGATCCATCTCCCCAGCCCCAAGGTCTTCTTTCAGGGCAAAGCACAAACTTGCTTACTGCTTGGGATGAGAGGGGGAGTCCCTGAGCTCAGTGTCCCCTCTTCTAATCCAAGTCATGGTGTGTGTGACTTCCATCTAGTCCAGAGCACCCAGGTGAGACCTAGGAGAATAGGAGCCACCGCAAAAACCCCTCAGCTCTGGGCCACCAGGCAAGGAATCAGACGGACATTGCACATTCCATCCGCAGGCATCAGTCCCTGTTGATCATTGTGAAGGCTTCTCAAAAATCAGGATTTCTGACTCTACCTCACTGGGGGCTTCCTGATCCACACAGCTGAGTAAAGTATAGTGGTCACTGCCTGTGTCTTCACCAGGAAAGGCCCATCTTCTCTTGGTCACTTCTGAGGTGATGAGCAGAACAAGAAGGGAATGAGTCCTAGAACCTATTTTCAAAATTTGGGATTCTATCCTGACAGTTCGTGGACATGACACTTCTTTCTCCTGCAGCAAGCCCAGGCCAGTGGCAGGTGTACATCCTTCCAGGATGGGAAAGGGTAGGGCTCACCACAGCTCCTGTGACAGTGGGGCCAGAATTTTAAAAAACAAGATGATAGAAATTCAACAGTAGTGGTTATATTGTATATTGTTGTCTTCAAACTAGTTGTTCAGATTACCAGATATAAGCATGTAAAATAAACATATATATAAATTACTATGCAGCTCAGACTCGTAGAGGTCCTCCTGTTTTCAGCCGCCACAGTGCTGGGATTACAGGCATGTGCCACCATGCCTGGACTCAGTGGATGGCCCAGCGTGCCCAAGGGCAGGGCAGGCGCAGCATGTGATGCCCAGGATCAAACCCCAGTCCCCGCACTTGCCTAAGCAGGTGGTTGGTCCACTGAGATATCTCACCAGACCACCAATATAAATATTTTTTAAAACATACCAGCAAACTTAATTGAAAAAAACAATCCACACACACACACCCCACAGCACAGAGCCTGGAGTGACTAGCTGCCTTCAAGAACCTATACATGGCATTTGAGGTGAATGTGAAAGAAGGAAGATGGCAGAGAATGAGCATCTTGGGCTGAACAGCACACACAGGAGCAGAGTTCTGGGACCCCTTTCATGTGTGTGATGGGGACACGTTCGCTGTGGCTTGGAGCACTGTGTGAGGAGTAACAGGAAATCAGGCTAGTGGACAGGCTGAGATGGAAAAGGCCATCGTCCTCCGGACTGTCCGCGACCATTTGGTCTTTTCCCACTCCCACAGTACACATCTGTTGCTGTTTGCACTACTAGGGGTTAGGCTCAGGGCTTCTTGGTGAGTTACTTCCCACACGCTTTAAAAATTGTATTTTGGAGCAGGGTCTTGTTACACTGTTCAGGCTGGCATGGGATGTGCAATCTTCCTGCCTCAGCCTCCTGAGTAACTGAGCGTACAGCTTTGAGCCACTGCACACAGCTGACTCACCTTACCTAGAATCTTCAGTGCACACAGTTGACACACTGTGCGCTTTTACCATAATGTTATGGTACTTTTTGTTGTTTGTTATGGTACTTTTGTGTGTGTGGTACTAGGAAGGTGCTGAGGAAATGGCGTGTGTGTGTGTGTGTGTGTGTGTGCACGCGCATGTGTGCACACACTTCCTGAGATTTAAATTTTTCCTTGAAATATGCCCCATAATTAGAAAGTTGCAACTTCAGTCTCACTCCCTCACTTCTGGAAGGGAAGAGGTAGAGGGGCTTGAGTTTGGTCATGTAGCCAGCGATATAATCACTTGCGCCTACATCAGGACGCCCATACGTCACACCCTGCACTGCCAAGGTGAGCAGCGCTCAGGGCGGGAACACACTGATGTGCTGGGAAGGTCGCGTGTTTGGAGGCATCGTGGAAGTTTCACGCTCCTCTCCCAACCTTGTGTTCCATGTGTCCTCCCTTTAGGCCGTTGTTATGTGGTATTATTTATAATAAAAATTTAGTACAAGTGGAGTGTGTGGCACATACCTGCACTTGGTAGGCTGAGGCAGGAGAATTTCTGCAAGTTTGGGTTCAGCTTGGGCTACATAGTGAGTTCAAGGCCAGTTTGGAATACAGAGAGAGAGAGAGAGAGACCCTGTCTCAAAAAAAAAAAAAAAAAAAAAACCATAATAATAACAGTAGGAATGCATTTGATTTGGCTGATTAGATGAGGACTGGCTTTTCCAATAAGAATGTCACAGATATTTTTCATAAATTAGTTAAATTTTTAGCATTAATATATTATTGAAAAATATATAAAACATGATAAAAGTCCTGGTGTGGTGGTCCACACCTGTGATCCCAGCACTGGGGAGGCTGAAAACAGAAAGATCACTAAGAGTCTGAGCTGTGTAGTGAGACCCTGTACTAAATACATAAAAAATAAAATAAAAAAAACATAAGTAGAATAAAAATATTTTAGCAAAAAACATACCAGAATTAACATTTGTACTTTTTTAATCGCTCCTGAGATTTAAATCTTTCTTTGAAATAATGTGCCCTAAGTGAAAAAATAAGAGATAATAATCATTTGAAAAGTTTTCAGAAAACTTTGTTGGTATAATTCCAAAAACTGAGAGCCTGAATGACACTTAGCACTGTGTGACAAATCCTATACAGATTGGATGGTTTCCAAGTCTATGCCTTCAATAAATTGAAGCAAGACTTAATTAAATTGTCAACTGATAGATCATTGAAAGCAATTTTTGATGACAGATCATTATATGGTTCTTATAACTCAGAGGTATTCAAAGAAATAGCTGGCATTACTATAATGGAATTTATCATTTAATTTATGCAAACTAGGTTTCTCAGAGCTTGTCTATTAATAAAAGAAAAATACAAAGAGAATATTGAACCCTGTCCATCCTAGCAACTAATGATATTTCCCCACAGATTATATTGTAAAAGACTTAGCCCTTCTATCATTAAGAGGTGGATCAGCAGCTGGGGTTTGATCCCAGGTATGTGGTGCTAGGCCTAACACCGGGGTACGCTGAGACAACGATTGAGACTGGGTGTGGTGGTGCACACCTGTAATCCCAGTGCTTGGAAGGCTGAACACAGGCGGATCACTAAGAACCCAATCTATGTAGTGAGACCCTGTAGACCCTGTAGACCGCGTCCTAAATACAGGGAAAAAAATAAAATAAAAAAGAGAGATGATATCTTTCCAATAAAATTTTACTTTTTATGTTTAATAATTATAAATTTTTAAAGTAATACATTTTATTTTTACAAATTATGAGCAAAAATATTGCAATGATAAATTGAATCTAGATGAAATTGAACTTTTGTGGTCCTAGGAAATCATTTTATAAAATTAAAGTGTTTAGCTTTAGTTTTTGCAGTACTGGGCATTGAATCAAGAGCTTTGCATGTAAGGCAAGCTGCCCACGATGGTGGGCTTTATCTTAGGGGAACAGTGCTTTTTTTTTTTTTTTTCCAGTACCAGGAATTGAACTCAGGACCCTGCATTTGCCAGGCAAGCACTTACTGTACTGAGCCATCTCCCTGGCCCCAACAGTGCTTTAAAAAAAAATTTTTTTTTATTTATTTGTTACAGGGTCTCCCCACGCAGCTCAGACTCATAGTGATCCTCCTGTCTCAGCCTCCCCAGCACTGGGATTACAGGCGTGTGCCACTGCACTAGCTCAGCACAGGGCCAGCACAGCATGCAGTATGTGGAATGGAACTTGGGTGTGAGCTTGCTAGGTAGCTGAGGCTGGCCTTGAACTTGAAGTGATCCTCTTGCCTCAGCTTCCCAAATCCTGGGGTGACAGGCATGTGCCACCATACCTGAGTCCTTGATGTTCTTGAATTTGCGATCCTCCTGCCTCTTCCTCTCAAGTACCTGGGATTACAAGTGTGCATCACCAGGCACAGCTAAAGTAAAGCTCATATATATATTTTTGTTGCCAATAAGAATTACCAGTAAAGTATAAAAGATGGGAGTACTATAATTATATAAGAAAAGTAGGCTGAAAACATGGGTACTGGAGCTGGGGAGGTAGCTCAGCAGTCAAGGTGCCTGCCTGACAAGCAGAAGGACCCGGGTTCAATCCCCAGTACCACATGCCATGCTGGCCCTGGAACTAGGGTATGGTGTTGCATGCCTTGGCTGAGACAGGAGGATCACTAAGAGTCTGATGTTTGTAGTCAGACCCTGTAAACCCTGTACTAAAACACATAAAAAGAACCCCTCAAACTACACCACTATGAAATAAGAATATTGAAATTGTATTTTAATTTTTTTTATATTCAGGAAAGAACAGAAGTGATTGAATATTGTTCATTATATCACCATCTAAGTGCTAAAGGCTTGCCCCAGGTACTCTCTGGCCTTGGACCAGTCTTGCTTCCAGCCCCACACATATGACAAATTTCCAGATTCAGTCACTCCCTACAGGTCAAGTGGTCATGGTAGAATAAATTTGTGTGGGACCATGTTGCAGTTGGAAAGTGGAGAGTATGAAGGCTGGCAAGATAGCTCAGAGGACTAAGTGCCTGCTTAGGCAAGCACAGGGCCCGGGGTTCGATCCCCACCACCACATGCCACACTGACTCCACCCCCTACCCATGCCCCCAGGCATGCTGAGCCAGCCACTTAGACTCAGCATAGTGACGCATGCCTGTAACCCCCAACACTGGGGAGGCTAAAAACAGGAGGATCAGTACGAGTCTAAGCTGCATAGTGAGACCCTGTACCAAATACATTTGAAAAGAAAGTGGAGAGCATGGTTCCTGTACTTTCTGTCCCAGATGTTCATGCTGGAGAGGCTATACTAATCCACGCAGCATCAAGTAGCTTGGCACAGCTGCCATCCAGCTGGCCTGGAGGGCTGGCGCTATTCCTCTCATCACAGCTGGCTCCAAGCACAAACTTTGGAAGGCAGAAAATCTTGGAGCAGCTGCTGAGTTCAATTACAAAGAAAATTTTCTGAAGCAACTCAAATTAAAAAGGTAAACAACTGGTTTTGCATCTCTGCAGAATTTAAGAGAAAATTAAATACAATCCTTACCAGCCCCAGGCACACCAGTGCTCTGGACTAGTCCTGGCTCTACTGAAAACACTTCAGCTGCCCTTGTAATCCTAGTATTGTATGTTTGCCCACCTGCATTTTTTTTTTTTTTTTTTTTTTTTTTTTTTTTTTTTTGCGGAACCAGGGATTGAACTCAGGCCCTTGCGCTTGCCAGGGAAATGCTTATTCCACTGAGCCATCTCCCCGAACCTCTACATATACTTTAAACACTAGATAACCACATAGTGTTGGCCTGGAATTATCTAGGCCTCTTGTTCCCAACCAGCTGCTCTGTGAGACCACTCTGGAGATGGTCTTAGTACAGTGTGGGCAGCAGCTCCCTAAATGAATGAGTAGATGTGCATCCCTTTGTATTGCAGTCAAATCTGAATATTTTGGGCTCATCCTTTTCCATTTTTCATATGAATAGAAAAGAACAGGGGGAAACAAAGTTAGCAAATCTATGATTTTTTGGTTTTTTGAGACAGTCTTATAGTGTACCCCAGGCTGGCCTCAAACTTCCAACAAGCCTCCTGCCTCAGCCTTTTGAATGCAACAAGCCCAATAAGCCTATCATTCTATAGCCCAATGCAGGTGATTCCCAACTCAGAAGTGAGCAATAGGCCCCATAGCCTGGGATAGACCTCCTCTGTTCTCTTCTCCCTTGAGCCTGAGTGCCAGTGACTGTACTTATTTTGGAGGTGAGAACCAACACCAGCTCATGGTGTTGCTCTGCTACCCTGTTGCTGTGGCTGGGAATGTAGAAGATGAACTATATTATACATGCTATGATGAGCATTTCATTGCCCCAACTCCATTTGACCAGTGATTCTAGTTCCAACCTGCAGATTTACTAATATTTATTTGTACCCATATGTCCACAGATACACCATGATCTTTATTTTGCACCATGCTTTGTGTCTGTCAGCATCAGACACTAAGTCTTGTGTGTTTTCTCTGGGAGGTGCTGGAGTGAACACTGCCTGGCTTATTTATGTATTTGGTACAGGGTCTCACGACACAGACGACACAGCTCTGATTCTAGTGATCCTCCAGTTTCAGCCTCCCCTGCGCTGGGATTACAGGCCGTGCCACCACACCCAGGGCCGGCATGGTATGTAGTAGTACCAGGGATCAAACCCGGGTCCTTTGCCCCAGCCCCTCAACTGCCTGGCTCTTTATGGTCACTGGGTTCTCTACGGTCTGATGTGGGGAGCTGATGTCAGTGGGCTCCTGCTTTCAAAACTACTTTTTAAACAACGAAGCCTCATAGCCAGTTTGCTGAGATCCAAAAAGGTCAGTCATGAATGAAAAGAAAATCTGATTTAACTATTTCTTAGAAAAGTGTGTTTCACTTACATGACCCCAGAAAGGAAGCTAGTTTACAGGTTAGGGGGCCTATGAAGAAAACTGCCACCTTGTGGATAAACAAGTAATCCAATTTCAGAGAACTTAAGGAGATTGGTCTGCAAAAACCTTGGGATTTCTGTCTGTCTTATATATATAATATGAGACAGACGGTCTGATTTTTCCTTATCTTAGTACAAGCAAATGCTGGTGAAAGCTTTTCCCCGGGAAATTCTTCCGGACTTCTCCACGGAGGGCCCCCAACGCCTGCTGCCCCTGCTGCACAGCATCTGCTGGGTGACAGAGGTCCAGGCCGCTCATCAGCACAGGGGCAAAGTCGTCCTCAAGCTGCCCCAGGGAAGGAGGAGGGGGTGGTCCGGGCCACGGCCGCCCCAGGCCTTCCCAGGGCTGACGCCGAGAGGACTCAGTCCCCAGGTCCACCCAGTCCACTGATTGATGTAAACTGCTCTAATGAAATGCCATACCACTCGGAACGCGCCCTTTGTGGGCTGATCAGCTCTGCTCTGACCTCCGAAGCTAAGCAGGGTCTCGCGGGCTCTGGCGTCGGGGCACCTGTCTGTAGGCCCCGCCCCTCCAGCTACCCACCTAAGCCCCGCCCAATCCCTGCCCGCTCCCTCCTTTCCGCGCCGCCCGCGCCAGAGCACGCCCAGTTAAGAACCCTTGCCCCGCCCCTTCCGGTTCAGCGGCCGGAAGTGCCTTGGGTGCTCCGCTTTCCACCTTCCGGCCTAATGTCTAGCTTCAGCTCTTAGTTTGGCGGTGGGAATCTTCGAGGTGGGGTACGCGTCACCGTGCCGTGAGACGGCCGTGTTCCGGTGGTGCTGTCACCGCTTCCGGCAGAGCCCCGCTGTAATCTACACCTGTCGCAGCTTTGTCCCCCAAGGCGGGCGAGCTCCGGAGGTGTCCGGGGGCGATCCAGTGTTTGCTGCGCTAACCTCATCAATCCGCCAAGATGGCGATGCAAGCGGCCAAGAGGGCGAACGTGAGTACTAGGCCTATGCCGAGGAGGGGAAGGACTTCGCTACCTGACTCGCAGCGTGAATCCGAGCGCTCTCGTATTCCGTCTCCGAGGCGCGGAAGCCCTGTATTTCTGTCCTGTCAGAGGGGCCCCTGCCTGTTCCCTTCCTCCCCTCATTGAGATTACCCCCTTCCGTCCCCTGGTGTCGGTGACAGTACTGACTCGCAGCCTGCTCGATCGGCACTAGGACCTGGCGTTAGTCTTGATCTAAAAGTCGATAGACGAATCCCCTGTAAGTAACTGGCTCACTAGTACAGAGCCTGGGGTTCTTGTCCCACCGTGGGGCCTTTAAGGTCTTTCGTTCAGATATTAATCCAACAACATTTTTGACGCGAAGTGATCCAACAGTTCTATGTATTGACCACCCACTGTGTTCAGACCCTAGTCTTAGGGATGGAGATAAAGCAATAAATAAGACAAGTCCTGCTTACAGTCTAGTTTTGAAGAGCGGAGTGTTATGGAAACCTTTGAAAAATAAAATTTCAAGAAAGGGTAGGCAAGTGTAAGACTCTCAGAAGTCTAGTAAGATGAAGGTAGATAATTGAGCATTGGGCGTGTTGAGATGATTTGTTAAAAGGAATCATTTCCGTGGATGAAAACTTGGTTGCAGGAGGATGAAAAAGCGGAAGTTAGGAAAATGAAGACAGGGCCGTTCAGATAGCTCAGCAGACAGGGCTCGATGCCAGGCGTGCTGTGCCGGCCCCTCCCCCAGGGTGCGTTGAGACAGCCAATGAGACTGGCACACGCTTGTAATCCCAGCACTTGGGAGGCTGAAAGCCGGAGAATCACTACGAGTCCAAGCTTTGTAGTGAGACCGTGTAGACCCTGTACTAAAATACATTAAAAAAATAAATAAAAACACCAGAGAGCTCTTTGTGTTTTCATATGTAAATGAAGAGTAGAGAAATTGGATTAGTTGTTTTTTGGTTTTTTTAAGGATCTAGGTATAAAGTTGTTTATATACCAGTGAGGGTACTCCAGTAGAATGGGAGAAGCATGATATGGAAGAAAGGTTAAATTCAGGAGTAAAGGTTTTGAGTAGATGAAGGATTGGGATAATAACAGGGAAAGTAAGTGAATACAGATGAACATAATTTGATAGGTTCACTACAGTAATAGGAACATAAGGTACTTAGCACTTGGGCTTGTCTATTTTCTCCAAGCACCACAAGCCAGTGTAATCTCTTGGGGTGGGCAAGGAGGAGTGTACACCCAAATTCAGATGTAGACAGGGTGATGGTGGCAGTGTATAAGAAGTATATTATGATTATCTGTGGTGTTGTCTATTTAAACTTAACCTGGAATCTTGAACTAAAACAATTTGTCACCACTGCCACTTTGAGAACCGGAAATATTCATCTTATTCTTCCATTGATACAATAATTTAATGTCAGAAGTAATTATCCATTTAACAGTTATTGAGCAAACTTAGGTCTAATATGTAATTGTGTATATTAACAGTGAACACTGGCAAACTTGAATGGGAGATACATATGTGAGAGAAATCAACTTACATTAAAAAGTGTGAAGAGGGGCTGGTGAGATGGCTCAGTGGTCTAAAGCACCTACTTAGAACAAGCTAAACCAAGCAAAGCACAGGGACCGCGGTTCAATCCCCCAGCACCACATGCCAGCCAGCCCCACCCCCTGGTGGGCTGAGTTGGCCACACACACACATACACAAAATAAATAAATAAATAAAATAAAATAAAAAGTGTGAAGAGTTAAGCAGGGTATATAACGGATCAAGAAAGAAGTCATGACCTGTAATCCCAGGACTTGGGAGGATGAGGCAGGAGGATTTATCTAAAAATAATAATAATAATAATAATAATAATAATGAAAAAGTAATGGTAAAACCGTGTGGAGTGTGGAACAACATAGTTTAATATCAAAGAAGACTTAAAAAATAGCTAGAGAATAGTTGAGTCAAGCATGGTGATACACACTTGTAATACCAGCATTTGGGAGGCTGAGGCAAGAGGATTGCAAGTTTAAGGACAGACTAGGCGAGTTTAAGGACAGCCTGGATAACATAGTAAGACCCTGTCTGAAAAGAGAAGAGAAGAGGGGAAGGGAAGGGAAGGGAGGAAAGAGGAGGAGAGGCTTCAGTAGGAGGATCATTGTGAGTTTGAGGCCAGCCTGGGCTACATTGTGAGACCCGGTCTGAAAAAGACCAAAAAATAAGAAGTTAGATAACTTTTTAGAGGTGGAAAAAGCAAGGGAAAAATTTTTTTAAAAGGGGGGGGGGAGAAAGAAACAATGAAAAACAAAGCTTTTGTAAATAAGGAGGGGAAGAAAGGTTTAAGGGAGGTTAGAGGAATGGAAAAAATAATCAAATTTACATCATGTACAAATTATTTCTATGATCAGTGTATACCTAAAATGTACCAATAAAAATCATTTTCTTTGGGGAAAAAAACAGCACTTAGTAAATATGTGTTGAATGAAAAGGGGTGCAAATGCATGTATTGTTTTCTGTAAGGATTGGCAGGACAAGAGAAGGCAGTGGGAGGGAAAGCCTGAAATAAAAGAGAAGATGCCACCGCTACAGGAAGTTCCTAGAAGACCTCAGAAGGGTTGTCAGTGGAATTCTTATTGTGTAGCAAATAAGAACATTTCCCTTTTCTCTTAGATGCCTGAGGAATCAACAGTTTTTAGATGAAACTGGAAATCTTTGTTAAGCTGTGGTGACCAAAAGCCTGGATTTTGAAGCACTGTGCCATGTCTCCTTTTAGTTCCTACTAATGGTCTCACCAAAATGAGTGCTCTCTCACTTTTCTAAGGAGTGTAGCACTCTTAGGAATAAAAGATTGTACCTCTCATTCTTGACTTTCTATTATTATATATCATTGAGAGTTTTTCTTAAGTTGTAGCACTTTTGCCTTCATTATAATGACTATACATATTTCTCATTTTAGATTCGGCTTCCACCTGAAGTTAATCGAATTTTATATATAAGAAATTTGCCATACAAAATCACAGCTGAAGAAATGTATGATATATTTGGGAAATACGGACCTATTCGTCAGATCCGAGTGTGAGTATGAGACTTGAAATGTCATTTAAAGAAAACGATGATAACTGGTAAACTGATTGGAATGGTTCCACAGGGTTAATAAATAGCATGTCTAGAAAATAAAATGATGGCAGGCTGGGCTTGATGGTATACACCTGTGATCGCAACACTCCAGAGACTGAGGCAAGAGGATCACTGTGACTTTGGGGCAAGAGGGAGAGAGATTACATAATCTGCAACCTCATATAGCAAGGGCACCTTGTGTGTTCTGCAGTTATGTGTCTTCTTTTATAGGTGAGATTACCAAAAGTACCTTTCTAATCTAGTGTTTAAAGATAAACTCTGACCAAAGTGAACCTCCATCCTACATAGTATCATAACCTATACTGCCTAAAGGTTCCCTCTAGTTTATGTTTTTGGCAGTGCTGAGGATTGAACCCAGAACCTCACACATAATGGGTTAACTGTCCTTCTAAAAGGATTTAAAAAAAATATTTTTTTTTTTTGGAGACAAGGTCTCTGTGTAGTTCAGGCTAGCCTTGAACTCAAGTGTTCTTGCCTCGGCCTCCCAAGTGTAGGATTGCAGGTATGTAGCACTATGCCTGGTGAAAAAAATTTTTGAGTCAGGGCCTCACAAGATAGTCCAGGTTGACCTCACACTTGCTAGGTAGCCTAGATTGGGCTCAAACTTGCATTCTCCCTGCCTTCTGAGTGTAGGGATTATAGGTGTGCACCACCATGCTCAGCTCAAGTTTCTGTTTTTACTCCTAATGTATGTTTCTTCTTTTTTTTTTTTGGCTGGCTCAGCCTGCCCGCCTCCTCCCTACCCCTCCTTATCCCCCCCCCCCCCCCCCCCCCCCCCCCCCCCTTTCCCCCCCCCCCCCCCCCCCCCCAGCCAGGCTGTGCTGGTGTGGTATATAGTGCCGGGGATTGAACTGTGGTCCCCTGTGCCTGCCTAAGCAGGCGCTTTAGACCGCTGAACTATCTTGCTGGCCCCTAATATCTCTTTCTTAATCAATTTTCCTTTATGGTCTAAGAGTTCCTTCCTAGCTCTTAGGACTGTGAGATCCCAAGGACTGTTCTTTTGGTTTTTTTGTTTTTGTTTTTTTTTTTAAGGACTGTTCTTTTGAATGATTACCATCACTCCAAAAGGTGAATCAGGGGCTGGGGAGATGGCTCAGTAGAATAAGCACTTTGCACAAGGGTCTGAGTTCAATCCCAGGTTCCGCCAAAAAGGGGGAGGGGTGGGGAGATGGCTCAGCGCAAGGGCCTGAGTTCAATCCCCAGTTCTGCCACACACACACACACAAAAAAGGGGTGAACTAGAAGTTGCATCATTGCAACTTGCATCATTGCACTCTGGGGATGAGACTGCACATGTACAGGACAGTTGTCTTTCTCATCTGAGTACCAGCTGAGAGCTCTGGACCCCCTCCACAGGAGAACACACCCACACTCTGTCTTCTTCTAGGAATACATGCACTCAAGATTGAGAACCTCTGTTCTAGATACAAGGAATGGTATGCAAAACATCCCTGACTTGGGGAGCAGGACACAAGATTCTGATCAGGCCCTGTTACTACCCACATGGCAAGGGCCTAGTATTTTTGATTTTCTCATTCTGTGTAAGATAACTTAGATGGTGCCCTTTTCTCTCATAATGTGGAGGCTGCCTGATAAATGCACTGGATTGGTTATTAGGTTCAGACATTGGCCACTTGCTAGTCATGTGAAACTAGGCAGAATAGTTAACCTATCTAATTTTCAATTTTCTATGATATACAGTGTTTCTTGAATTTTATTTTGGATCAAACTATATAGTATCTGTGAAAGTAATTTTATGACTGAGTATATCCTTCCCAGCATGTATTAGCCACCCATCTCCGTGGTCCCATAGCACCCCCTAGGAAGCACTCTTCCTAGTTAACACATGGTTTTCCTGTTGTCCCTGTAACTCTTTGCTCTCAGCCTGCGAGCTCTTCCAGGGCTGGTACTCTTTCTGCTTTATCTTAAAAGCACTTGTCATGCTGATATGTGAGAGGCTCCCAAGGTATGAGTTAAGGAATAATACAGAAGATGGGGTTATGATTGTGATTGATTCACAAAGGCATTGTAGAAGCTTGTTGATAGGGTGAGGGTGGTGGCTCACACCTGTAATCCCAGGATCTCCCCAAGTACAAGGCCAGCCTGGGCTACAGAGTTGAGTTCAAGGTCAGCTTGAACTACATAGTAAGACTCTGTCTCAAAAACAAAAAAAGTTTATTGATCGTATTCAATTCAGAGATGCTTAAGTCAATAAAGTCAGCCAAACAAAAAGACAAGAACTAAATCAGGCATCTTTAGAAAAACAAGAGTAGCTTGAGGCCTGTATGCTCCTGGTATCTGTGCCTATCCTGGTTGTCACCAGCTCCTTGAATGTTTAGCTCCTTCTAATCCTAGAGTTCTGCGTTCAGTGTCACCTCTCAGGTTTCTCTGACCACCATAGCCAACATAGCTCTCATCTCTTTGTTATGTCAGGGTTTTTTTTCCATAATTTTATGTAGAAACAAATAGCAATGAGACAGTTTCAAACCAAATTGGTAGGACAGTTTCAATAATTAACATATTGCATACATTCTTCCTAGTGGTTATTTGCTGTACAAGATGCAGACATGATATCCTATTTACAAACACTATTACAACAAATCCCTCTATTCATTAAGAGAATGTAACTATATATCTATCCGAACCACTTCGAATACACAGATACAAAATGGACATTCATCTGTGTCCCCTTTTTTGTTTAGTTCCGTTATTTGAATATTATAGGTGTGTTAACTCAGCAAAATATTCTGAAAGAGTCCAGTAGTCCATAATAGTATTGGGTCTTCCGCTTCACTGGCAATGTCAGAAGTTGTTGACCTGAGTCCCCTACAGCTCAACATAACAGCATGGCTTTACTTCTTACACTTTGTTTTTATACTTTTCTGCTGGATGGTTAAGACCAAGATAAAGCAGGACCTATGCAACAAGAATTGTAGCTTTTGCATCTGATAAGGCCAGTCAAATCCCCTCAGGATTTATCCTGAGATCCTGTACCTCAGATTGTAGAACCTTTGTCAGGTCAGCCATGTGGATGAGTCACGGCCATTGCTTGGCCAATGTGCTCCTTGTAAAAGCCTGAGAGAATGTTTTCTCTCCATGTGACTCTCCTTAGGCACACTCTTCTACATCATCGATCACTTTCCTCTTTGGCCCCATAATCTTCTTGTGTCAGTTCTTTTTCCTATGATAATTCTATCACATGTATTTATTTACTTTCTCTTGAACATACGCCCCTTAAAGGAAGGGATGTTGCTTCTGTATTTCACTACTGTGGTATCAAAAGATTTTTTTTTTCCTGTCCTTTTACTTTGAACATGTCTTTTTGTGGTTGTTTTTGTTTTGTTTGAGAAGGGTCACACTATGTAGCCCAAGCTGGGAATCCTCCTACCTCAGCCTCCCAAGTGCTAGGGCCATAGGCGTGCATCACCACACTACCAACCCTGGCTAAATCCTGTTGTCTACCTGGCCCCTTGCTATGGTGACCAGCACTCTGGTGACCAGCCCTTCCCATTTGCCCAATACTGAGATTTTCTGGGATGACTCAGTACTAAAACATGGAAAATCCCTGACAAACTACTACGATGGTCAGAAGACACTCAACGTTTTTTACTTTTTTTTCCTTTGGTTCCAGCGATCAAACTCGGGACATTACACTATAGCCACCAAGCTATATCCCTAGCCCACACTTTGTACCTTTTAAAGCCTCTTCATTTTGTTTGCTCTTCTGATTACTAAATCATAAGGCAGATGATTTAGCCCAATATCATGTGACTTATGAAGCAGCTGAAGCGAAGCTCACAGAAGCCAAGTTACATGATGAGGTTTTCTTATTTCTACTGTAAGCTTTTTTTTTTTTATGTAGTTAGTACAAGATCTACAGGGTCTCACTACACAGATTGTACTTGTAGTTATCCTCCTGTTTACAGCCTCCCAAGTGCTGGGATTACAGGGTGCGCCACCACACCCAGTCTCAATCGCCAGATCAGTGTGCCCCAGGGGCTGGGGCTGGGCACGGGCATAGGCATGGGCACGGCAGGCTCAGGGATCAAACCCCTGGCCCCTGCTATATGGCTGGCCCTTCTACTGTAAGCTTTTTTATTTCACTACTTTTTTTTCCTACTCTTAAGCTTTAACTACCAATCAAGAGAATATTGTTAGTGTAGTGACACTAAGACAGGTGTCAAATATATACCTTTTTTTTTTTTTTGCCATACCAGGGATTAAACTCAAGACTTTGCACTTATCAAGCAGGTGCTTATTCTACTGAGCTATCTTCCCAGCCCTTCAAATATATACTTTTAAAAATTAGGGGCTGGGGAGATAGCTCAGTAGAATAAGCACTTCCCTGGCAAGCACAAGGGCCTGAGTTTGATCCCTGGTTCCATTAAAAAAAAAAAAGAAAAGAAAAACTATAGGATTCTTTCTTCCTTTCAAATGCACATTAACACTTACTGTGCACATGGGATTATGGGAGGAAAATGAAGTGAGCTTTGCCTTTAAAAAAGTCAAAATTGTAAGTTTTTTCCTTTTGACAGTATTCAACTTCCATACTGAATTTATTCTTACTTTTTTATTTTTAGGACAAGATCTCACTAGAGTTCAGGCTGTCCTTGAACACTCTATGTAGCCCAGGCTAGCCTCAAAATTTGGGGCATCCTCCTGCCTTAGCCTCCTGAGTGCTGGGATTACAGGTGTGTACCACCATGCCCAACAAACCTAATACATTTTTGAGAATGATTAAATTGTTAATAGTTATTAATACTATTACCAGGCAGTACAGAACATCACGAAGTACCTCATCAAACCCACACAACCTAGTAGAGTTAGTTCATTCATGGACAGTGGGACTCTCTAGTTACTCCAAACACAACACCCTATACCTATTCTGTCCCATCTCCCCTGTTTTAATGTTTACATTTTTATTGCTTTGTGTTTGTAATATGTAATGATTATATTCATCCTGGGGAATTGATACATGTTCACAGCACATCTTAATCTTTTTTACAACCTCCACCCATCCCCTTGTATAGGAAGCACTAGCTGTGAGCAGGGCCCAGACTGGAGCCTTGTTCTAATTCTAGGCAGATGCTCTACTTGAGTGGCAGATACACACCATGGGTGTGCTGCCTTTCCTTACCCATGTGCAGGGACTGTGACAGGTGCAGGGTCAGTCCAGAGCCTTAACCCCCATTCCACGGTTGTACCACCTGCCCACTGCCTCAGCTAACAAGTCCCTGGCTCTGTGCTGCCTGCTATTCAGTGCTCCTATTGTACCTCCCTGCCTCTCTCAGAGGAGGCTTGTGAGGTGGACAGCATGGCAGGGGGTGTCTACAGCAGAAGCAGCCGCGGGGCTATGAGGAAGGCTGGCTTTCGCTCGCAGTTCCCTGCCAGCATTCTGCCCTGCTTACAGATAAGTGCACTTTAGCTCCCGTCAGCAGAAGCCTTTCCCCGGCTAGACAAGGCTGTGTGACGCACCAGAGCTTGGGTTGTTACAAAAATGAGTGTATAAGGCCTTTTTATTTTATCTTGTTTTTTTGTTGTTGTTTTGTTTTTTAGTTGTTTTTTGAGGCAGTGACTTGATATGTAGTCCAGGCTGACTTTGGATTCACTATAGGCCCCAGGCTGACTTTGAAATTCACAGTGATCCTCTTTCCTCAGCCTCCTCTGGGTGTGGAGCACCATTCCTAGGTTCTGCATGTATTTTAATCTTGCCTAATTAAAACTTTGAAGCCTCTCAAAAGTTTTGAGCTGGAAATGGTGGGTGGCGAACACCTATAATCCCAGCATGGGAGAAGCTGCGGCAGTAGAATCACAAGTGTGAACCCAGCCTGGGTAATGTAGCTAAACCTTGTCTCACGTTTGTTGTTGTTGTTGTTTTTAAGTGCAAAGGCCTGGGGATGTAGCTCAGTGATAAGTGTCTCTGGGTTAAATCCTCACCTCTGTGGTTAAAAAGGAAGGTACAAAATAGGGGGTGACTCCTGGATTGAACCCAAGGCTTTTATGTCGAGCCCCACCACCAACTCTTGTTTTGGGGCAGAGTCTCACTAAGTTGCAAAATTGTCCAGGCTGGCCTTGCACTTGAAATTCTCCCTCAGCCTCCCTCCAGGGTGCAAAGATTCCAGGTGTGTTTAACACCACTCTCAGCTTTTTGGTCTTTTTGAGACAGGGTCTCCCTATTTTGTGAGGTGGACAGCATGGCAGGGGGTGTCCACAGCAGAAGCAGCCGTGGGGCTATGAGGAAATATTATAGACGTGTCCAGCCTGGACTACACATCAAGAGTATTATTTTGCTCTCAAACAGGCTAGGGGGCCTGCGAGTTAGCTTGGTTGGTTAAGCGCCTACTCATGCACAGTCAGGCGCAGGATACCACGGTTTGATCCCCAGCTCCACCTGCCTTAACCAGACCTGCCCTTAAGGCTGCCTGGGGGGAATATATACTTTCTATGTCACACAGGCTGAAATCCTCTAAGTTCAGCTCCCAGTCCTCAGAATACAGGTGTGGGCCATCAAGCTGGGCTTGAAAAGTGACCTTATTCTGAGCAGCAGGAAGGCTAAGGCAATGTACATGAGGATATAGGGACCAGGGCCCCGTAGATAGGGAGAACACAGGATGAGGCTTCATTGAGCTTTGTTAGAAGTCAAGGGAGAGACTTAGAGCAGAGGCCTCTGCCTTTGCAGATTATCTTGAGCAATCAGAAAGACAAAGGCAAAGAAACCAAGCTCAGGAAGGTCCCAAATAGCTGGACAATGTAAACCCCTTAAACCTAAAATACTTGTCCTTAAGCTGCCCACCCATAATCTTAGCCTCCACCAAACCACAGGAAGGTAGTATGACCAGAAGAAATCTAATAGGAAGACCAAAGACAGCCATACAGCCAATCAGATCCCAGGAGCCTACCCTGGGAGAAGAAACCCAACAAAAGGAGTCCAGAGAAGAGCCCACAAGTATTATTTTGCTTTCACACACTCCATACTCTGTCATCTCTTTTTCTCCATCTTCAAATAAATCATCTTGCGTTTAAATTCAGCTTCTTAGGCTGGAGAGAAAGTTCAGTAGCACAGCATGGAAAGTATAGGGTCTTGAGTTTGATTCCCAGTACCAAGAAAAGAATAGAGAACACAAACTTGTACTGGACATCTAATAGGTTGGGGAGTTCTTTCCCCTATATCACAAATTTATAAATATTGGAATAATAATTACATTTGATTTCCACTAAAAAAATAAAATAAAATTCAGCTTTAATTCTGTACTGATGCTGGTTATGATCGCAGGGAGCTGCATTTGCCAGCAGACCAGCAGCTTACAGTCTGTGTCCAGATGTTACAAACTATCCTAAAATTTCAAGCCAGTTCTTTATTGCTAGTGCTTTGTATTCTTTATATTCCTGATAAAAGAATAAGCTATAGATGTTAAATATGAAAAGACTTAGCTCAAGAAATGATAGGCTTATCCAGCATACCTCTCCATATTGTTTATTTCTAATGGTTTTCACATTGATCTCAAAATATTTAAATAAAATATATTTGCCAGGCACACCTATAATCCCAGGTGTGGGAAGGCTGAGGCGGGAGGATGTGGTAGGAGGATTTGTCTTGAGCTTGAAGCCCATCTGGGCTACATAGTGAGTTCAAGGCCAGTCTGAACTACATGGCAAGACCCTGTCTCAAAAACTATATATAGATATTTGACAGATTCAAAAGACTTCTAAGCCTCCTCCCCCACAAAAAAAAAAGACTTCTAAGCCTAAAAAAGCTGGGCATGGTGGAATACAGCTGTAATCCCAGAACTCAGGAGGCTGAGACAGGAGGATTACTACAAATTCAAGGCCAGCCTAGGCTACATATTGAATTCAAAGCCAGTCAACTGTATAGCAAGACCCTGTTTTAAAAAACAAAGTTTTCAGTCCTGCCATACTGGTGCACTCCCAGCACTGAGGAGGCTGAGGCAGGAGGATCTCCACAAATTTAAGGCCAGCCTGAATTATATAGTGAAACCTAGTCTCAAAAAACTCTTGGTGATCTCTTAATTTACTTACCAGTGTTTGTGTAGTTTAGTTATGTTCACTTTAGTTATGTTTACTTCTGCAGGGGGAACACACCTGAAACTAGAGGAACAGCCTATGTGGTCTATGAAGATATTTTTGATGCCAAGAATGCCTGTGACCACCTGTCAGGATTCAATGTCTGTAACAGATACCTTGTGGTTTTGTACTATAATGCCAACAGGGTAAGTATCACAAAGTTGCTGTCACCGTCACGGGGGAGCACACTGGAGAATCTTGGCGGGCTGCACGTGGTGGGAATGTGTGCCACGAGCTTCCTCTGGGCTGGTGTTCGTGTGAAATTCATTCAGCGGTAGGTCAGTCCCTGTAACATCGGTGCTTGCCCCATTTCCAGGCATTTCAGAAGATGGACACCAAGAAGAAGGAGGAACAGCTGAAACTCCTCAAGGAGAAGTATGGCATCAACACAGACCCACCAAAATAAGCTCTGTATGTTCACTGTGGACTAAAGCACATGTGACCACTGTCACTTTTTTCTTTTTAATCAATACTGAATATCCTTTAAAAAAAATACTGAATATCCTGACTTCTTGAGATTCAAAAGAAACTTTGATACATATTAGAATATGTTAATAAACTTGTACTTTTTGTAAAACACGTCAGTGCCTTCTCCCATGTTTGGTATCAGGAGAAAATTGTGTATGTGTATGGGTGTGTGTTGTATAGAGCCTCTCACAAGTGGTGCGTCCCTGCAGTTCCACCTTCTCTTGGCCCAGGCCGGGGTGGTAAACCTATGGCAAGCCAGTGGGCTGTTTGGTGCTGAAAGCTCTGAAAGGGTCTCCATCACTGCCCTAGGCCAACTGAAAGTACAACCTCTTAGCCACCTTGTCCTGGGCGCCTCTAACCTACACACAACCTATACCACTGAGGGCTGATTCTAAACCCTAACGGGGCTCCAAGGTAGTTACAGGGAATGTTGGTGAAAGTAAGCCATGTGTCTAGGCTGGATGGTGATGCCTGCAGTCCCAGCTGCCTGGAAGCTGAGGCAGGAGGATCACTTGATTTCAGGAATTAGAGGACAGCCTGGGCAACACAGTGAAACCTTTAGCTCTTTCTGATGGTATTAGAAACAAGCTCAGAATGACACATTCTTAGAAGTAATGCCCTGATACTAGAGTAGATCTAGATGAAATTAGCCAGTACCTGTGAAAACAAGTTCAAAATCGCACATTCTTTTTCAGAGAAACTTCCCAATGTATGTATTATTCTAAGCCTCAACATACTTTCTTCGTTGAGACACAAAGTGTTGCCATTTGGTTGAGAGGAGCTCATCCCTCTACCCCAAATAAGATATTGCAAGGTTGCATAAGGTTCAGATCCCACAGGTGACTGTTAGGCTGTGGGATTAGCTACACAGAAATCTAAGCCTGTGAGATGAGTAGCAGGTAATACCTACCTGCAGGCTTGCTTAGAGGATTGGTGATTTTATTTAAAAGTTGGGCCAGGCAGGTAGCTCAGAAGCACCGCACCTGCCTGGCAAGCATGAGGTCCTGAGTTTGATTCCTGGTTCCCCCCTCAACACACAAAAGTATACAGAACACCATCTCTGGCACCACACACACACTAAGGCCTAGCATGAACAGTGTTCCCATTAAAGCTGTCACGTGTATTAAACTCTCCTAGCCACTTGGAAAGCTCGCTGCTTTTCTCAAAGGGCACCTGACTTGTGTAGTCCCTAGAGCATGTCCTACTTATAAGGACAGACAGGAAACTGTTGAGCACAGAGCCTTTATTTTACATATTATTTCCAAAGAGGACACTGTTAAGTGAGCAGCCAATAAAATTCATAAGAGAAAGTGACAGCAAAGGTAACTGGCTCAAGTCCCTCGGTACACCATGTACACTCATGTCTAAGCACCTTGTGTGTCTGGCTTAAGTGACCATAAGGCAGTATAGATTGTGCAAACAAATTCATGTTCTGTGATCAGGAATGGCGACTACATGCATCACACAAAATGCACAACCTGAAATGTTTCAATCTGCAACCGAAGTCTCCTCAAGCAAAGATGTGTGAGACTGGCGACACAGAGCAGCTTGGGCAGAGCGAGCGGTAGTGCCGTGGGGCAGTGAGCTGAGCGCACTGATCAAGAGCCCACCTAGGAGGAGCCATCCCAGTGGCAAGGCAGGCTAGAAGGGTGAGCAGCAGCCAGCTCCAGCCGCCTTGAGATCCTTCCTGCCTTCACTCTAAGTTGAGCAGCTCCACGTCAAAGATGAGGGTGGCATTGGGAGGGATGACACCAGGATGGCCTGTGGCTCCATATGCCACATCAGGGGTGCAGGTCAGCTTCGCCCTCTGCCCCAAGCTCATCTAGCAGGGATGGGGGCAGATGGGAAGAGGAGAAAGAGGACCCAGCTTGATTTAAAAGAAAAAAGTAAGGTAACTATGGCAAACGTCTTCATGGTAACTGAAGATCTGAGATGAACTTTTTGTGGCACATGAAAACTACACCAAAGAGCTGGTAAATTCTGCCTTTAAAATAGCACAGATTTTTCTGTGGGACAGTAATAGTCTCAAAATTCATACATCCAACATTGCTGGTTATTCAATTAGCGTAGGTCTCAAATATTTGCTCAAAATTGTTCTCTCCCCCCTTCTAAAGAAACCTAAGGAGAATGTTTAATTGGAGCCTCTATACACTCAGGAAGAGGACAGGACCAGAGGTTTGGGGCAGGAGGCCACATCAAGGAATGAGGGCGCAGAGACCCACTGGACTGGAGCATCCTGTGACCACAAAGAGACCAAGGAGAAACAGCCCAGGCCAGGGTTCAGTACTGCAGTTGTCAAGAACCTATTTGGTGTTAGTGGGACAATTGGTGAAATCTGAATAACTCAATTTCTGAATTTCAAATAATCAGTTCAAAAATTTGAGTCAACTAATAGTATTCTGTCAGTGTTCTGATTTTGATCACTGTACTGTGACTATGTAACATGTTAACAATTGGGGAAGTGGAGTAAAAAAAAAATATACAAGAATTTACTATTTTTGCAATATTTCTATATGCCTGAAATTATCACTTTTTTAAGTTAAAAAAAATCACCTCCTTGGCTTATCCCACTTTTAACTTTTCTGCTGCCTTGGATTTGGGCAGCTGGTTGGCCTCTCACCTAGTTCCAAGCAAGCCTAAGGGGATGTGTTCCGGGAAGACTCTGGTGACAAAGGGAGACAAACTGGCCCCGAAGGACGCAGAGCCAGGCGTGCACACTAGGTGGCGCTGCCATGCCTTGGCGAGTAGCGTCCATGCAGTACAGGGTGAGGGTGGAGGTCAAAGTGCTTGGCCCAGATCCCCCAGTATATCTCCTTATCTTACCTGGGCTGCACCCTCTTCAAATCCTTTGATGACTTCCTGTTTACCAATTCTGAACTTGAAAGGTTTGTTTCTATCTCTGGATGAATCGAATTTCTTCCCATTTTGGAGCATTCCTGTCAAAGCCAAGAACAGGGCAGAGAAGAGGTGTGGTTGTGAGTTAATTCCCAGTTCATCTTAAACAAGTCTAAAGGAGATTTGCCATCATCAAGCCCCACATCTCTTTGGAATCCCATTCTCTCCATTCCTAGTACCTCACCTCCCTGTGATCTCACCGAGTAACCATCATCTCTCACCTGTGGAGAAGAACAACTCCTAACTGGCCTTAATGCTCTGCTCTGATTTTTATTCCATTCTCCACTCCACTCTGCACCCATTTTTATTTCTTTAAACACAAATCAAATCATATCATTTTCCTGCTTAAAACACTTCAATAGCTCTGCAGGGCAGAGTCCTAGTGCCCACAATGTATCACAGGCACTTCAGGATTGAACTACTCCCTACCTGAGAGCTCTCTCCCTGCCCTTTCCTTTCCTCCCACAGCCTCCCACACCACACCTCTAATTTCTCTGCCCTGTTCGATTTTTGCACACCACTTCCTTGGCCAAAAGTTCTCTTTTCTTTCATATTCCAACCTCAAGTTGAATCCCCACTTAAAGTTTCTAAGGTTTTTCCCAAAATGTAACATCCAAAAGTTACATCGTGCCCTGCTGCAGTGGAAGGTGACTCAGCCCATCAGTGGTGGCTTCCCAGCCCCATTCAAATGGTTGTTTGATACCAGAACCCCTAGGTGCTGCCGCTAGCAGGCGGTGGCATCGCTCACCCTCCAGCTGAAATGCCTGGTCATGCCTGCTGATGTGTCTCTGCCCAGCAGCCCAAGCTCAAGAACTTCTTTGCTACTTTCACTTCCTCTTGGTGCCTCTCACTGAGACATCAGAGCTTCTCCAAGTAGCCTTATTCCACAAGTTCTTCCTGCTGCCTCAGGACCATGATGAAAGGCAATCTGGCCTATGAAATTGGGAGACAGGGTTCTATCTTCAATCTGGCACTAACTCACTGTGTGGTGTTGAGAAAACCACTTTTTCTGTCTGGGCCTCGGATGTGCCATGTTCGATAGAGGCTCTGCCAGCTTTGTGTCTGAGCATCTATGATTTTACTTCTATATTTCTACAACCTCAATGTGCACTAGAGAAACAAGCTAACTTACCTACATTTTATGTTGAATAAATTGGTCTCTTGCCCCAGTCCTGGATGAGGCAAAGGAGAAAACCTTTCTCCTACACAGAGATACACACAGGTGGATGCTCAGATCAGATACAAATTCACTCACATCCACAAGTTGCTAAGATATTCCAATACGCAGAGATACTTGTGTGTGCTCACACACATTTATGCACACACACTCAGGAGGAAAAACCCTAATGGTCAAACACATGCTAGCAAACTATTTAGATCTCCATACATTCCCACAGACAAAGTCTTAGGCAAATACACACATGAATGCGCACCAACTCACACACCCCATTTGCAACGGCAAACAGAAACACCAAAATGACACTCAGGATTTGAAGGCAGATTCAGGTCGAGGAGCACTGATCATGTCCAGATATCAGGCCCTGATGCCTAGAAGCTCTTCTGATTAGCTATCAGGTGAGATCATCTGTTATAAGAGGAGATTAATAATCATCAATTTATGAAGTTTGGTACAATGGTACAATCAGGCCTATATGTTCACTTATGCTCTTGTGGTTACAGGGGTCAAGAAATGACAAAGCCACAAAGCAGTTACAGAACTAGGCAGTTTCAAAAGAACAAAGTTTTGGGGCCCAGGAGATGGCTCAGTTGAATAAGCGCTTTCCTGGCAAGTGCAAGGGCCTGAGTTCAATCCCCGGTTCCACAGGGAAAAAAAAAGAACAAAGTTTTAAAGAGAACAAGTTCTCTTGTACAGTTTTTCCCTTTCACATTTATAGACTAAATAGACTATTATAGGCTTTCTTTTTCTCCAGTCCCTTGAGGTATAACTGCATCATCTACTGAAGCCCACATGTACAGTTACCTTTTGCTACAAGTTCAGCCAAAACAACCTGGTCCTGAAGCAGGCCTGCATATATAGTTACTTATCTGACAAAGATGCTACAACAACACAGAAGAAAAAGCATGATACTTTGGATTAATGTTGCTGGATTAACTATATATACACTGGGGGGGGGGGATCAAACTTTGACCCCTACCAAATCCACATGCCAAAATCTACTGCAGAACATTCACAGATACAAATAGGAAAGGTAAAATTAAATAGTGTATCAGGCTAGGGCTGTGTAGTTCACTGGTGAGAGTGCTCGCCCGGTAGGTGTAAGGGGCTGGCTCCATTCCTAGCACTGTGAATAATAATAATTATAAAGTTTCTACAGGGTAACTAATAGAAGAAAATCATCACTTAGAGACAGGGAAGATTTTTCTTTAAATTTGTATTTTAAACAACCTCCCCCCCCACCCAAAAAAAAAAAAAAAAAAAAAAAAACGCACAAATTCCCAGGGCAGGAGAGTTAGCTCAGCAGTCTAAACACCTGCCTGGCAAGTGCAAGGACCCAAGTTAAGATCCCCAGTACCACATGCTGTGCCAACCCAGCCCCAGGCACTCTGTGCTGACCACCAAAACTGGGCGTGGTGGCACAGCCTGTAATCCCAACACTGGGGAGGCTGAAACAGGAGGATCACTATGAGTCCAAGTGAGACCCTGTACCAAATACACAAATAAAAAGACATTTTTTAAAAAATTTCCAAAACAGTATAAGGTAACAATGGTTAATACTTTGAATTAGTTACTCAAGAGTACAAGATATCAGCATTTAATTGTCCAAACAGCATAAGCACAGACCTATCTTTTCAATGAACTGAGATATTCCTAGTATAACTATTTTAACTATCATATATATGTATATATATATATATTTTTTTTCTTTTGCTTTATCCTTTTTTTCCATTTCTACATACCACTTTCTCTTTCCTTTTGAAGTTTCTCCCCATTTCATAATATCTATTCTACATTTTGGATCTTATTTGCTCTTTCAGCTTTTCACACTACGGAGGACATACATTTCTTAAACTAACAGAAAGTATTGAACATAAAGGAGAAGACCAATAAGCGCACAAGGCAAGCTACAGTGTGCAAGATGTTTGGGATAGGTACAATAGTAATAGAGAATGCATACCCAAAATGTATAAGGAGCTCATATAAATCATTAAGAAAAAGAAACACATTTTAACTGGACCCTTTTTTGCTTTGCTTTGTGGCACAGGATTGAACCCAGGGCTTTGTCCATGCTAAGAACACACTCTCCCACTAAGTTACACTCCCAACTCCCTACAACCTAAGTTTTTTCAGTACTGGGATGGACCCAGGGCCTCTGCACTGACCAACATCCCCAGCCCTTTTATTTTTTTATGTTTGAAAGAGGGTCTTGCTAGATCGCTAAGTTGCCCAGACTGGGTTTAAACTTGTGATCCTTCTGTCTCTGCTTCCAACAATGCTAGGATTATCGATGTGTGCCATCACACCTGGCTCTCATTGTTGATTTGTTTATTTTTCTTGATACCAGGGATTGAACTCAGGACCTTAGGGCTTGCCAGGCAGGCACTTATGCCACTGAGCTATCTTCCCAGCGCTGATTGTTGTTTTTTTT